CTCTCTCTCTCTCTCTCTCTCTCTCTCTCTCTCTCTCTCTCTCTCTCTCTCTCTCTCTCTCTCTCTCTCTCTCTCTTCTTTTCGTACTCTTCTTGTCTTCTATGCTTCAAGTCTCAATATGCTCTCTTCATGTTCTTCATGCTTGAGGTCTCTACTTGCTCTTCATGCTCTACATCCTCAAACTGGTAGCCTAGCTTTTTCACGTCTAGCTGTTCTGTGTTGACATGGTTGTGATTTAGTTTTTTTTCAGTATGAGATGCTACGTATCTCGGAAGAAGATGCCCAGAAGATTCCCCTTTGTCCCGCCCCTTTCCTTAAGGCAGGGAGGGAAGTCTGTACTATTTCCAGCCTTGGACCTCCTCTGTGCATCCACGAATTCGTACCGCTCCCCTCAGCCTCAAGAGCGGAGTTTCTTAACCACTACAGCCATGGCACTGTGTACAAAATTGGAACCATACCGGTCTTGATATCCACCCCCCACCCTTAAATCTTTGCATGGGTGTATTGTCCTTACCCACACCCACACCCACACCCACACCCACACCCCACCCGCACCCGCACCCACACCCACACCCACACCCACACCCACACCCACACCCAACACCCACATCGACACCCAAGACCCACACCCAAGACCCACACCCACACCCACACCCACACCCACACCCACACCCACACCCAACACCACCCAAGCTCATAACCTCAAACCACGAGGGCACACCATTAATGGCTAACGGGGACCCCCTATTTTCAGCTCACACAGCCCCATCCAGAGTATCCACAACTTCACACTGGCGGTGGTGGGGGGGGGGGACCCCGAACGGCCACCACATTCATGGTTCACCTTCCAGGCGTAGGGGAAGCCAGCTAACATCCCGGATCGATTAGGTCGTCATGTGGCATTCCCAGATCTTGGAAGGTCATGCTCCAATGCAACCCTACATCATGTCCGCATTCAAATTGTAATTACAAAATTTGAATGTGGACATGCTTTACGGTTGTATTCATTCGCATTGATCTTTCAAGATCATATTACATTCTCCACGCATTGGAGTATATGTGCAAGAAAAAAAATTGCAACTGTACTGCTGTTCTATGATCTTGGAATATCACACTGCAAATGGTCAGTCAATCCTAGTCAGATTGACTTGAGACCAGGCTACCAGCTGGGCTGCCAGGGTCACCTTGTTTTCCCGGGCGGCCCGGCCATGCAAGGACCAGGGAAGGTCCCAGCAAAAAAATAATAATAATGAAAAAAAAAAATCCAATAAATCCGAAAGAGACCTAAGTTATGCAGAAAAATAAACTGAACAGCTGTTTTACCTCAGGGTCACATCGAAATTCTTTACCCTTTTTTTTTTTTTTTTTTTTTTTTTTTTTGGGGCCTGGCCGGGCAAGTGGTCCCGGGCCACTCTGGTAGCCTAGTTAGCCACCGGCTGTGTGATCACATTCCGAGATCATAGCACAGTAGTTTCAGTTACAATTTGAAATTTGATTTCTTTTTCAATCTTGGCCATTACAGCTGGTGGGTCAAGTTAATCTCTGACTACAGTTGACTGACCTTTTTTTTTTTTTTTTTTTTTCCCCTAACCTACATTCTTCTCTCAATATGCCTCCCACTACCTGCTACCTATCTATGCCTACGGTTTACCGGGCAGTTCTATTTGACGATATATATTACTAGCTTAGCAGGGGACACGGGGGTTATGGGTTCTAAACTTCAATTCCCGGCCTCCAGATTTTTCGCCTCAGCATATCCCGTAGGCTGTTCTATCCGTCAGCGGCCTAGACTGAAGGACAGTCAACCGTACTTCTTATTAAAAAAAAGTAAAAAAAAATAAAAAAAAGAGAAAAAAAAAGGTCAGCAGCCTAGCTCAGTTGGTTGAGTATGTGTCCGCCTAGCTCAGTTTGGTTGAGTAATATGAGTATGTGTCTGCTTTCCAGCTCGTGCCAGGCTTTAGGAGCCCTTTGCTAAGCAGGGAATAGGTTTGTGTAACTTTGTGAGCTACAGTTCAAGTATGCGTAATTATTTCAATTTATTGAATTTTATTCGGATAACTTGGGATAAGTGAATTCGATTTTAGACTGGGCTACCAGCCGGGCCGCCCGGGTCCCGGGTGGCCAGTTGTTGAAAGCAAAGCAGATCAAACACGAGTCAGCGTCGATGACGCAACAAGTATAAGTGCAGAGCAAACACAAATGCGAGTCAGCGTCAGAATGACGCAAAACGAAGTACATGAAAAAGTCAACAGTATTGATTGAAAAAATTAACACCAATCAGGATCGGCGTCCCCGACGCCACGTTGCCTTCATCAGGGGGTCTACCACCAGCGTCTCCCTCAACGATCGACCATCGTTCCACCAACCCACTTCCTTACTGTCAACTACCAGCATTACTGTCGGCAGTATCGAGTTCCGTTAGTCCTGGAGAGAGGTCTACTGACTGTACCTAATTGCTTTAATACGACAGTGTACCGAAGTACTGTAACCCGAAAAGTGTCACAAAGTAACAAGTACCGGTTCCACAGTTCCACAGGGGGAACCATGAACGGGTACCATCAGGCCTTGCGGAAAAACCGGAAAACCGACAAACAAACCGAAAACGACAAACGGCAGAGTCGGGCAGACTCAAGTTCAAAACCTGGTAACAAATCGAAAAATCACAACGAACTCAAGGCGGCTAACTACATGGAAACCCTGTCCATCCGAAACCACAAACAGCTTACTAATTAGAAAACCCTGTCCATTCATATGCAGTGTGCTGACCAAATGACAAAACTACAAATCAGTCGAAACAGCTACACAGACCCAAGCCGGAGCCTTGTCCATTAAGCTAAAATTCTAACGAATCGATCACGAGGCAATGTGGATACAGCTACATATCTACAAAAGTAACACGCAAAGTTACAACCAACTTACTACTTGGAAACCCTGTCCCAACATATGTAGTGAACTTGTCAGACGAACAGAAAGACATAAAACAAGAAAACATGCGATGGCTACACACACCCAAACAGGAACCTTGTCCATTTATCTGGTGAAGTCGTCCTGACACAGGAGTTGAACGGTCTGGTGCCAAATTTCATCCTTCCCGACAGCAAAACTCTTCAGCACCCTGACAAAGCATTCTGGTGGGAAGCCCTTTAGACGAAGTTCCCTCTTCACAGTCAGGACTCGTCTCGGGATCTCGGATCTTATCGTTGTGTTTTGACGGATTCGATGCAAGTGGCTTCCGATGATAGCAGCTTTCTGTTGCTTACTTCCCCACGACGAGTACGATTGCCCATTCTGGAACACTAGTCGTTCCTCGGCCCAAATTGAGTCTTCATTCTTGGACAGTTGGACGCAACCAAGATACGGAGATCTTGAATTTGTACGAACTTCACATCCTAGAAACTGCAAGACGCCGTCCCGGTTATCAGTGCGTTTCAGGGTGAGGTTCGCTGGGTAGCAAACTTCGAATTTTCGTACAATCTCTTCACGAACTCTGCCGGTCAATGATGCTGATACAAGGATGACGTCATCAATCAACCTGACACCGAACACCTGCTTCTTGTAGCGGCCAATGCTTGCAAAGAATTTACATTCGGCTAAGGTGCACATAATGCATGCTAAGGGTGGGCTAGTACTCTTGCCCATCGGGATCCCGATAACCTGCTTCAGCAACACACCTGTTGCGTATGTGTAAGTGTGCCTAAGCTCCAGCTGTAAAAATTCAAAATGTCGCAAAGTTCCAAACGCCGCCAATGATCTGCACCTGTGATCAAGCCGAATGATGCCCCCTTACCCCTGGTATTGACTCAGACGAAACTTCGCCCTTTAGCTTGATGGTGATTCATGATCCATTGCACTGCTTCAAGAATCTCGGTATGTGGCAAGCGACTAAACATCTCCTTGATGTCATAAGACGCTGATTCTACCATCCCCACATTGGATAACGCATCAATCTTTCTGTTAATTCTCTGCAGACGACCGGACAGATGTGACACTGCCTGGAGATTAAAATGGCAGTCAATTGGCAACTGGAACAGCAGGTGATTGAGGGCTTTTTCCACTGCCTTGCCCGTACGAACCATCGGTTCGTTAAACGTAGGGCAAATAGGCCGAAAGCGGTTTGTATCCTTATGTTTCGGAAGAACATAAGATACACCAAACTTACCCTTCTGTTCCCAGCGAGAAAACTGTTTCAGTCCGCTGTTAGTCACGTCCTCCTTAATCTCCGTCAAGATCTCTGCGGCAGAGGATTGGACCACCCGGTATCCCGGACTCGTAACGAACGTGTTCATCATTGCAGTATAGTATACCTGCGGACACATCACCAGTGTGTCTCCCAAGTTCCTATCGAGTGGAGTAAGGACAAAGCCATCAAGCTCTTCCTTGACTCGTGTTACATCTGCCATAGCTAGCCTAGCGTCACCGGCGCTCGTCGTCATCAGGCATCCAGCCAAGCGGCTCACGTGAATCGATGGGCAATTCCCCTTCAGGTTATACCAGGACTGGAAACCTGTCGTGACTTCCTTCCGTAATACTTCGATGCGATTGCTATCCAYCCCRCGAGGAATGTCATGCGCATTAGATAGTGATCGATGGTGCRGTTCACTTTGGCTAAGACGAAAGCATACGTGGCCTCCCTCTCTTGGGTAGGCCGACCCTGCGCAAATGCAGGTRAGAACCTCACGAGCAGCAAAGGCTCGTTGATTGTGAAGAATTCCACCGATCGTCTGGTTTTTAACCCAAACGATTCGGACTTTCTTCCGTGCACGCTTTCGGAAACACAAAGGCAAATCACACTCCATAATCACATCATTAACTACCTTCCTAAGCTCACCAAGATGGATTCTATCATCAAACTTAACACAGATGATGAGATCTGCGGACATACTTAGTCCAAATCGGTCACCGATCAAACGAGATAGCAGGCGACGCAAATACTTACGCGTAGACTTTCTTCTAAAATCCTTGATCACATTGTACAGTCGTATCGTTGATTTCAAACCCCATAAGTATAATTAAGGAAACCGCCTTAGATTTCCAGCATCAGAGATACTCAACGATCACAAGTCCACCGGCTTCAAAAATTGACTTACAAACCTTAAGCAAAACTGATCCATCAGTCGTCTTAACGACAGATTCCCCAAATCTTCTCCGAAGCTTTTTCCAACCACACGTCCAAGTATTTCCACCACTGGATTCAATAGACAGCTTCCGTAATCCTCCCTCATCCTTCGCGGTCAGGAGCTTAAGTAGATCCAGAGTCCAAACGTCATCAACACGAAATTGAATCGGTCGGACAGTCCGGCAATCCCGAGGGGCCTCACCCCTAGATAGTTTCTTGCGCTCATACTTCCCCTTCTGCGCCTTGCTTTCTCCACACTTCTTCTTACCACTACCGTTAGTATTCAGAAATGGCGACCACTGTTTGATGTAAACATCCTCTAGCTTCAGCAACTCGTCAGCAATAGCACAATCAACCGGTAGCAACACGTAATTGCCACTGCCGAACGTGCGTAGCCAACGATGAAAGTGCGTCTGCTTCTTGTTACGGYAGGCATTCAGGTGCTCACGCCAGCGGATGTCCACATTTCGTATAGTCTTACCCACGTACTGAAGCTTGCAATAAGGAGAGACCGCAACGTAAACACAGCCCTTCAATTTCAAGAATTCACATCCATGCAAATCGAAGAGTCTTCTCCAACTATCAACAAGCTTACGCGTCCACTTGATCTCTCCTTTGAAGGACAGCAAAAGCATACATAACCTAAGGAGYTCCTCAGCTTCAAGGTCGACAGACTTAAGTTTACAACGATACTTGGTCAAAATACGCACCRTAYGCCAGATCTCGTCAGKTCCGTAGTCTCCTCACACCTCCGGATCATTTGCCTCATCATCGACATATGCAGATTCTTCGTCAGCTTGGTCAATCACTTCAGTCAGGTCGACAGGCTCGACCTCCCCAAACGCCTTCCTCGTTCTGTGGCTTGCGATGTCGAAGATCGCATCCACCTTGCCATTATAGGCAACACCCTCGGTCTTGCAAATCGCTTGCAGCTCTTGCACGTCAAGTCCGCGCAGCTCCTCCATTGCTTGGTTACGAAAACGAAGTTTCGCTATGGTGCCTGGTTGCCCAGGACTCTTCTTGTTTTTGGCGACGTACGGCGAGAGCTTGGTCTTTACCTTCGTCTTCGACCGAGTAACACGGAGAGTTGCTCCTGGAGTCTTCGCCTTCGTAGTTCTCGGGGTACGTTTAGCTGGGGTCAGCATCGGAGGACTGTCGTCGAACTTCGGCTCCGGTCCTCTCTTACGTTTCTCGTTGATGGTCAGTCTTCCAGTCTTCGTTCGAATTTCCTCCGTAGCCCCTTCAGAACTCGCATCATCCGAGTTCGTTCCGTGGTCGGAGACGTACACCACTTGTCTCTTGCCTTTAGCCTGTCGTGCCAAGGACATGACGGGTCCCAAATTCGCTTCCATCCGATAAAAAAATTCACTCGTCTTGATGGCGACTTGAATTTCAACCTTCTTTTCGATCTCAGCGGCACGCTCTTCTTCCCTCCGTAGCTTCTCCAGCTTCTTTCTGTCCTTCTTCTCGCGTTCGGCAATTTCAGCAGCCTTCCGTTGTGCTTCGGCCAACGCTTCCTTCGCAGCTCGTTCCTCTTCAGCCTTTTTTGCCATCTCCGCCTGCACGAATTCCGACACGGAGGCTAGTCCTTTGCCAAGTTCTTCGATCTGCTTCGCCAATACAGGGTCTAATGATGTAGACGCGCCCTTGCCAGCTGACACCTCCTTCGCTGGAGAAATAGAGCGTACTCGAGGCGCTTCATGCGCTGAAGTCTGTCGACTGTCACAACGCCCACGACTTGGACATTGGTTAGCATAATGTCCTCGCTCGTTGCACGAATAGCATCTCGGCGGAGACCGTCGGTAGTATCGATCGCCACCGCGATCATAACCACGGTCAGAACCTCGGTTATTACCGCGCTCCTCGCTTCCCGACCTAGTAGCTCTCCTGTCATAGTTTCTCCGATCGCCCATCTCCACACACTTGTCTTCGTTCCTCGAACCAAATCCAAACCTTCGTTAATCAGAAACTTCCGGAGTAACCGGTGCACAAGTAACCAGTAGCATGCAGCTAGTAACAAGTTGCTTGCACCAAGTAACTAGTAACAAGTAACAAGGACAAATAATCACGCTCACTACTCTCAGTAATTTCTCTCTGAGAGAGTTTACGTGTGCAGTAGCAAGTTGTTGAAAGCAAAGCAGATCAAACACGAGTCAGCGTCGATGACGCAACAAGTATGAGTGCAGAGCAAACACAAATGCGAGTCAGCGTCAGAATGACGCAAAACGAAGTACATGAAAAAGTCAACAGTATTGATTGAAAAAATTAAATAAACTCCAAACGAAGTACATCGAACCGGGTGGCCAGCCTGTGCAAGGACCAGGGAAGGTCCCAGCAAAAACAATAAAAAAATGAAAACTTCCAAAAAATCCGAAAAAAAAACTATGTTATGCAGAAAAATAAACTGAACAACTTTTGCCTCAGGGTCACATCGAAATTCTTTACCAAATTTAGAATACGAAATAAAATTTAAACATATTTCTTCTATTTTTATTTTTTTTTATTTTTTTTGGCCCGGCCGGGCAAGTCACCCCGGGCCACTCTGGTAGCCTAGATCTTAGATCAATTTCAAATTTGTTTTAAAATATAATAATTGAATATTTTATTCTATTTGAGATTATTTCAACTTGTTTCAAGTTAAAACTGAAGTTACGCGGTTATAACTTTGTCTTTTCGAGATACGAGTTGGTCTTCAATGTTCACTTTGTTAGCAAACGATATTGTGAAAGTCTTTTTTTTTTTTTTTTTTTTTTTTTTT